GGCCCGGCCCTGCCCTGAGCCGCCGCCGAGCCGGGCCCGGCCTCCCGGGCCAGCGCCGGCCTCGCGCTTCGTGGGCTTTCGGGCGAGCCGCTGTGCGGTTGGGTCTCCTTGTTTGGACAGAGGATCTCCAGAGTACGAGGACTGCTCGAGTACTCTTAAGATCTGGGGTGCTGGTTTGTCGCTGATTTTTACTGGAAACGGGAAGGAGTTTTTTTTTTCCCCCTTTTAAGCAGCCGCCCTAAAAGCCGAACCTCCTCCATCGTCAGGAGCCCCCCCATCTCCTCATCAGATCCCGTTAGCCGACACGCGGTGGGACCGTCACGGGGAACGCTCAAAACCACGGTTTGTCTCACGTTGACAGAAGTGCCCGCCGTTGTGATCCACAACGTTGTGATGATCCACGTTGGTTCTTTTTCTTAATCCATGGATCCAGCCTCTAAGTTCACGTTACAAGAGATTTAAAAGAGAATTATGCTATTGTTCTTTACCAAAGAGGCCCAAAGGGATCCCTAGTGGTAATAAATGCCCTGTCCATGCCCTTTCCACTGCGAGGGGTCTGCTTCTAGGATTCAGCGGTTCAAATCTGGGCTCTCCATTTCATAGCAGTGTTCCACTACAGCACAGTCAAAGACGGATATCTCTAAATTCACAAACTCTTGCAGCAATACATTTTTCCGTAAAAAACAGAACACCTAAAATGGCTGCAGAACTGTTTCAGACTAGTTGCTGGTGCTGAGTATGGTTCTCGGCTATGTGTTGAACAATTTCCATCTTCCAGGCTAGTATCACAAACAGTCCAGGTGCTACAATGCCTCCAGAACAGTTTCCAAGCAAAACTTTCAGGTTTTCCCGAAGTACCATAGAAGACAATGCCAAAACATCCTCTGAAGTCTCACACTGTCTATGGATCTCTGTTGCATGAGTGGAAATGAGGAAGATAAAATATTCCAGTAGCAAAACTTAACTGCAGAATGGTCAGTGTCTTCAGTGCTTTACAACATGAAAAAATTGAGCGTAAGAACATTCAGTACAAATATTTCCACGTGAAAACTCTTCCAATAAACCATCTTCCCCAGTTTGTTACGAGAGGTAGAAACCTAGCTTTAATAGCTGTAAACAGCACCGCAAAGCAAAAGGCACTGGAAGAGCAGCCTCACCACCTCACAACAGAAAGACCACGCCATTTTCGTTAATAATAGTTATACAGCCCCTTTCAGCCAAAGCATTTTACAGACTTGAGAGTGATATACTATATTTGGGAATCAGACCCTCAGCACTGACGCCAGACCCTCAGCCACTTCTGGAGTGCAACCCGCTAGCTGTCTAAGAGCTCACAGCAGCAATTTAAGTGCTGAAGGGAAAACTGGGTAACATATCAAGATCAGTGCTAACACAGATCTTCCCAATATCTACGCCCAGCTGATGTTCCTGGAAACATTTATGAGGCAGGTTCCTATGTATTGTGGCCAGACTCCTTGCATAGGTGTAGCTCGAGGAGATTAACCATTATCTTGGTGTCTTCATCAGCCATTGAGCTCTTCTCCAGCAAGCACATGGACTGCCATCCTCATATATCTTTCTTGCGAGAAAAGTAAAAATCTATCCCTCTGTCCTTGTGCTGTGTTGGTGTGTGTGCAGGACCTTTCCTCCCCTTGGGATGGTGGCCTCTTCCCTGCTGCAAATGAAAGATGAATGGTGAGGTCCAATTCATTGCCCCCCATGACGGCGAATCTGATCACAAGCAGCCTCAACAGACAGTATTAATCAGAAAAATGTTCAAGTGGTGCTTCTACCCCGCTGAGCAGCAAAAAGGAAGGGAGGTCTTATAGACGCAGTTCTAGTCTGGGACTTAGGAAAGTATGGTTTCCAGTAAGGCATGGGCCTGTCATTTCAAAGGGATTTGATACTTAATTTAAGGGTGGCAGACAGGGATGGAGGTTCTTCTCCAGACCTCAGTAACCTTGGGCCAACAGTCCCTCCCCAGAGCGTTAGGATTTCACAAACACAGTGCGGCAATGAAAACCACAGA